GTGCGTCACACAGTCAGTGGACTGTGCTGCTCGGCCCGCTCAAAGCCTCTGTAACTTAACTTAAACATGTACTGCATTTCTCTCGAGGCACCCTGCTCCCTGCTCGGATTAACTCGACCCTTGCAGGCTGTTAAAGAAGAAGAACCACACTGACCCTCTGTGTCCCATGACCTGGCCACCTGTGTGAATATGTTGCTTTTATGAGTCATGGCCCTCTGTCTTTCAGCAAGCATGTGTGTCTTTGGGCTGCTACAGTGAATAATGTGTTGTTGTTGTTGTTGTGTGTGTGCGTGGGAATAGTTACACCAGTGTGTGACCCATTGTAACCCCCCCAGTAGAGACAGAGAAGGCATGCACAGTTCATAAAAACACAAATAGCTGCAATGAACAGGCGTTAATGTCCGGGGGAGGCGAAAAATAAATGGAAAACCTTCCAAACAGTTCCCCACGGCCATCATTCATCTCGCCCTTCTTCATTCCATCTCAGCAGCATGAGAAACAATATTAATATAAGTGGGACTGCAAGTGTATTTATTACAATGAGGAAGAGATGTCGTGTGAAAACAGTGGTCATGTTTGGCTGTCTGATAGGTAATTACACTGCGAGGAAGGCCGATGTACTGTAGTACAGCAGTGGAACAGGAAACACAGAGGACAGTGGAAAAACAAATGGTGCCTGAGGTGAGCAAATACGACTCATAAAAGGCAGAGGGAGAGATACAGATCAGGCATGGAAATGTAGTTTGTTAAGTCGGCACTAAAAACTGGCATAAAATACTGAAAATTGCCTCTGTTTACACCTGCTTTTAATCTCCCTCCTGCATGACCGGACTGTAATGAGAGAGAGACAAAAAGCACCACATCCATATGCAAATGCAGACTGCAGTGTTCATTCAAATGCATTAAAGGTCATAGGTGTCCACATCTACAGGTGGTCATAGTCATATCTGAACTCATTAGCACAAAGTAGTCTGCAGTCTGTTGCACCAGCTGTTTGTAAGTTCAGAATGAGCCTAGTTATAATGTAAATTAATACTAAGTTATGATTTATGCATTACTAAAATAAAGAGGGTTGCGGGGGTGCCCTTGTACCAAGGAGTCGTTGCTGCAGTGGCCGTGGGTTCAAGTCCGACCTGTGGCCCTTTGCTGCGTGTCATCTCCTCACTCTCTACCCCTTTCCTGTCTATCTCTCAAGCAAAGAGTAAAAATAGCCCCCAAAGACTGTGTATGTATATATAGAAAAATAAAATAAAAGCGGTTGCAGTGTAAATCATAAAATATCATACTCACTGATGATAGCATCTTTTATTTTGTATTTTGTGACACAGTAATTGAGTAGAGACCTAATTTACTAATATGATATTTCACTATCGTTATAACTTACCACTATGTGCTATGAAGGCAAGTAGCTAATGCCAGCTAGAAAGCTATTGCGCATGGTAACCATGGTGACGGAACAATATCTTTAATTCTTGCTTGGCCACTTTACATCCAAACTAGTAAAGTTATGCGCAAAATAATTGTGGTGCAACCAATTATAGTGGCTGATTTAGTTACAAGCTACCTAGTAGTTACTTTACACCCTATGAGAGAACTTACATATAGTTGGTACAACCCAGTCCTGGTCTCCAATTCACAAATAGAATCTCCTATAATGGAAATGCATTTTGCTATGCAGATCTTACCATGAAGCAAACACATGCTGTAAAGCTCATGTCTTACAGCTTTAAATAGGCTTGTTTACAGTGTTTGAATCATTGTCCACTGTAGTAGGGCCTGTATATGTTTCCAACAATGTTCACACAGAGAAATTGTGATATTTTTGTTTAACAAAACATATGTGAAAATGGTTTGTTATACTGGGTGTGGTGAAAACCTAACGAACACTATACAAAGACATAATCTGCTGACACGATTACAGATCCTGTTTATCTTCATGACCATTGTCCGCAGGATTTCTGAACAGGCTCC